CTCCTCTTTTCTTCTTCTCCTTATCTGAAGAAATGAAAACTTTCCCAAATTTCATGACTTGTACATATTTTTGATCTGCAGCTTCAATGTGAGCCTCTTGCAGACAATATCTAATTTCATTTTTTCCCCAGTTGTTAAAACACCTCTCTTCTTTTTTGGGGGGCATTTAGACCATTCACATTTATTGAAATTATCTTTATCTTCCTTCTATCCATCTTGTGATTCCGTGTCTTGTTTATCTCTCAATTTGTCTACTTGTGCGTATCTGAGATGTTGTGGTCTTTGGGGCTTTTTTTGATGCTGCTGTTTTCTTAGTTGTAATTGAGGCTGTTGAGGTTGTTCCTGAAGCACCTTGGGGATCCTGGTCTTCTTCTTCTGTAGCTTCTGAGTTTTCTGCTTCAGTTTGGAGGTCTGCTCCATGTGTCTTAAGAAAATTCTCTGCCTTAAAAGTTGAGTTGATTCTGAATCTTTTGCCTTTATAAGTAAAGAATAAGCCTTCTGGAAGTAGCCATCTATATGGAATCTCATTTCTCCTCAGTGTTTCTGTAAGATCTAAATATTCTTTCCTTTTTTCTCTGACTCTCCAGGGAATTTCTTTTAAAATCTTTATTTCTGTGTTTTCTATGTATAGAGGCATTTTATATGATGTTTTGAGAATTTCATCTCTTAAAATTCTCTTATGGAATCTCACATGTACTTCTCTGGGATTTTTTCTGGCATACTCAGAATTCATCCTAAAAACAATATCAATTTCATCCAAGACTTTCTCTGTTTCTTCTGTCTTCATATATTTTGCCAAAATGTGTGCCATCTTCTTCCTTATGTCTTCCTCTTTGTCTTCTGGAATATTTTGAAATCTTAATATGAATTCTGCTTTATCTAATTCGTCTCATAAGATCTTGTTCCAATACAATTTGCTTGGAGTCCATTGCCTGTACTTTCGTGTCTGTTTCTTTTACCTTATCTTCCAGTTTAGAAATTTTATTCAATTCAGCAATCTTCTCATTCTCTAAGAGTTGTTTCTGCAGGTCTTCCATTTTATTTGATAGTTGCTGCGACATGTCCTTCATTGTGTCTTTAATTGAGTCCACTGCCTCTGCAATTGCAGCTTTTATAGAAGTTGCAACTGTGTCCTGAATCAGTATTTGCAGATCTTTCATTGTGGCCTGTGGTAGGCTAGAGGCAACTGATTTAATAACACCTGGGGAACTAGAAGATTGTAGTTTAGGAGGAAGCCTGTTTTGCCATTTTTACCTAGGCTCAAGTGGTTAAGACGCTGAACTGCAGGCTGTGGAAGGTCAGTAGTTCAGCAGTTCAAGACCCGGGTGCCGCAAGACGGGGTGAGCTCCTGTCTCTAGTTCCAGCTCCTGCCAACCTAGCAGTTCGAAAGCAAGAAATCGCAAGTAGATAAATAGGTACCACTTCGGTGGGAAGGTAACAGCGTTCCGTGCGCCTTGGTGTTTAGTCATGCCGGCCACATGACCACGGAAATGTCTTCAGACAGCGCTGGCTCTTCGGCTTTGAAACGGAGATGAGCACTGCAACCCTAGAGTCGGATTCGACTGGCTTTCGAGCAAGGGAACCTTTACCTTTACCTATACAGCAAGACCAGAGAATCTCCACAGTGTTAAAACAGACTGGTTTTTTTTTTACACAACTCTCTGCCCACAATACAGCTTATTATTTATAAAACAACCTTATTGTTAACACAATACTGATAAAGTACTTCAAAGCCACATAGATCTCTCAGTTTTATCAGCTATAAGCCAAACACACACCACAAAAATGTGATACAATACAACAGTTTTGTTATGAGAAAAAATCTTCTTGGCAAACTCTTCTTTCTTCTCCTTATATGGAAAGTACCAAAAAAAAAAAAGGAGAGGAGAGGAGGGCAATGGAAGACAAGGGAAGGAGAAAAGGTTCCAGTAATTGTAATCCAACACTGAAGTATTAAAAGGCAAGGGGGGAAAAAAAGTCAAAGCCAGTTGTCATATAGATGGTCTCTTTCTGGTGCAGGAAATTTCTTAATTGTAATTCCATTGGGGAAGGTTTTAAATCCAAAATATATGTATATATATTTTAATAGGGAAAGGACAAAGTCTTGAAGCTCCACCCACGGAGGAAGAGTAGAACGCGGTCCAAGATTTACAAAAACGAAAGTACTGTAATCCATTTATTCATAAGAGAAAGTCTATTAAAAAGACATCTGGATCTTTAGCCCTCAAAAGTGTAACGATTTAACAGTGCTTCTCTTATCTGTTGCTAGCTGCGAAAAGGAAAGGGGGGGGGGAAATCCTCCCACGCCCTGTCTTGAGCTGTGTCTCTTTAAATTTTAAAGGGCATAAATGTTAGAAGGAAGTTCTGGATTTTTTGCATAGACAATTCCTCATGGTGGTCTTATTTAGGTATTTTGGGGAAGGATTTCTAAAGCTCCCCAGGTGGGAAGCAACAGCTGGGTGCTCGTGGCTGCCATGAGCACACTTCGAGCACTTCTTGCTGGAGGCGATCCAGGGCTGCAACCTGTGTGCTGCTGCGGAACAGGGAGCCCGGATCAAGCCCCTTACTCTACACTCCCTCCTGCCCCTGATACTCCTCTAGAGAAAGCTCAAAGCCGGCGGCACCCAAGGAGGAAGTTCTGGTGCCGTCCGTCTTGCCGCGCTGCAACCCGCTGCCCTCAGGATCCAGAGAGAGTTGACCTTTCTGTCTTTCTAGACCTCTTGCTCCTTATGGAGTCCTGGTCCACTGCAGAGTCCATTCCTTCTAACATGTTCCAGCATGGATGGATTTCAGAGGAGGGCAACAAAGATGGCAAAAGGACATGACCCAGAAGAAAATGGGGATAAAAAGGGCTTTTTTTGCTCAGCCTTGAGAAAATAAGATTAATGGGGAGCTTGACCATTAAATGTATAAAATCTTTCTACAAAGATGATGCAGTGCCTTTAAATTACACGGCAACCAATTTAGGTTTATATGAAACCAGATGGGAAAGCTGCAAGGAATCCCAGATAAAAAGGAAATGACCCTTCTAGTCAGATCTCTCTCTTCAGCAAACAATTATGGGATTGTCAAGGTCAATTTCTTTCTCCCTCTCCCACCCTGCCCTCCCTTTTAACTAATGACGTAAGTTCTTTCAGAGCTGATCTCTCAAGGGCAGTTCTCGAAAGAGCTCTCTCAGCTGCACCTACTTCACAGGGTGTCTGTTGTGGGGAGGGGAAGGATTTTGTAAGCCGCTCTGAGATTCCTTCGGGTAGTGAAGGGCAGGGTATGAATCCAGTCTCTCCTCTTCTCTTCTCCATCTGATGCTCAGCAATGCTCTATATTCCATGCCTCCTAGACCCAATGAGCATGCTGGCAATTTGTGTTAAAAAATGTGTATAGTCATGTATTTCTGTCTACTTGGCTGGTTCCCTCCAACTACAAAGGAAAGTCCTACTCTGCCTGGGGGCAGCCCTGTTTCACTGCATCACTGGAAGCGTGGGACTGTCTCATTTTCTGTTACAAGAAATAATATTGGAGGAAATGTCTACTTGATAAAATGATTTGGTAGGTGATGAAGGAGGCAGTTGGAAAACAGGTGGCCAGATGAGCAGACAAATAATGAAATGATCCTCAGTCCAGAACGGCTCATTCATGGAGACCCTTCCGACTGCTGCCATTCTTCAGAGGGGGCAACCCAGCTCCTCCCTCCCCATCTCTTTACCTGTAGATCACAGTCTAGCTGCAGAATTTTGCAGACATAAGAGAGAAAGTGCAAATCTTCAGTCTGCCGGATTTCCCTTCCTGTAGGGTTCATCTCAGTATGAAGTAAGATGCAACAGCCATGTGACTACCACTGGAACAGTTCCTGGCAAGGGCATCCCTTACTCGGACCATGAAGCTGTCCTCGCCACACTGTCTGTGCAGAAAACAGGATCAGACAAAGCCCTAAATCATCCCACTCTTGGTAAGTGCCCAAGTGTCCTTGACTTGGCACAAGAAGAACAAGTGGAGGAACCTGGACTCAGTGCTCACTTGCACATCTTTGGGAGGCTATTTCTTGCTTGTGTCTTTGACCAAGTAGCCCCTCCTTCAGAGCTTATTTTTCATTCTGCTAGCCTCCTCAGAGGGGAAGGTAGGTACTCGGCTCTTCCCTGTCACAGTCCAAGGAAGCCTAGATTTCCCTGGGTCAGACAGAAGCTTATGGCCTGTCTCCCCAGCTCCTGAGAAAGTGGGTTGGACTTGGAGGTGTGTTATTAGTGTTGTTGTTTGACTAACATTAGTGCCCACTGTGACTGAGCTCCATCTTCTTTCTCTAGATCCTGTTCTGGTAGACATCTTGAATGAAGCCCGGATGGAGGTGAGGGTGGGACTGCTTTCGGCAGAGCGCCAGCGGTACTCCTGTGGACGCATGGCTGTCCTGGCCCTGCTTCTGTTGCTCATGCAAGGCGCTATGGGCCTGAGTTCCATGTTTGGTAGAACCATCCAGCCCTTCCCCAAGTTCTCCTTCTCTCTGCTTGCCCTGCTGGCAGTGGTGGTGTTGCTCATCTCAGGCGTATTTTACCTCTTCCACACCATTGAGGTGAAGAGCCTACAGGGGACTGAGGAGCAAATGCGGGTGGGGCTGCAGTCTCTCCAGGATAAGCTAAGCTCTGGCTGATGCTCTTCCTGCTGGAGCCTCCATAGGGACCAAGAGACCCTTGCTGAAAGTGAAAGGCAGCAAGACCCTCTCTGCTGCCCACGGTCTAAAGCTGGGGGGGAGGTGGCGGCAAAAATTTAGCATTTGATGCTGTACGTGTTTTATAGCTGTATTTTAGATAATAAACTTTGTATGAATGGTTCTCTGCTGGAGAAGAACTTACATGATGGGGACTATCATGTCATTGCTTGTTACACTCCCCAGAATGGAATTTTGAAATGCAAGCATGTCTAGACCTAACTCAGTAGTAGCAGTTTAAGAAACCAGTGTTTTATCATAATCCAGCTATGCAGTGTGAAATGTAAGACTGATTCATGCAATGGCATTTGCAGTGCAGAAGGTTGCACGAAGCAGATCTGCTAGAATAGACGGTGTTCGTGGGCGGATTCTATGGCATTGAAGCCCCTCCCCAAACCCCACCCTCCTCAGGTTCCACCCCCAAAATCTCCAGGTATTTCCCAGCCTGGACCTGGCAATCCTATCTGAGCACAGATTTTTGAAAGCATTTACTTAATTGTGTCTCACAGAAGCAACACTTTTGATGCATGTAGTAATGTATTTTTTCTATGCCTTTGTCGCGCACTTGTTCAGAAGAGCTCAAAGCTCCTTTCAGGTGGTTCCCAGACCATACAGGGTCATCTTTTGCAGAAGAACTGCCTTCAGGCCATTCTCATTTAAGGGGATACATGATTTTTCCTTTGCTAGTAAATGAACTTCGGTAAGAAAAGAGAGAATCTCCCTTACTGTTCACTCCATGCATTTTTTATTGAACTTGGGGAACAGCCAGTAAAAGAAGAGTGGTTTCCACTAGCCCAGGCACTGCAATTCTCTGATTGTTATGAAAAGATATTTTTAAAAAACCATTAAAAAGTCTAATTCTCATTATGTAACACAGTCACAGTACTTTTATTAAGACCTTTCTGCTGGATTTGTCAGTGGGTAGCAAATGCACATTTGTTGTGCACAATTCTCAAATCTTCTCTTGAGGCTGCACTTCTGTTGCAGGAATAATTCAGGACACTTACACGGTTCCATGCTGTCCTGCAGAATTACTGCATCCATTGCAATTATATTTTGGTGAAGGAAATAGGCTCAAACCAGGTATTTGGTTCATTCTTGCAATCCATGGGTGCTAGGATCAAGGATCTCTCCTGTGTTTCTTCCTGTAGCTGATTTCTGGTGTTGTAAGATCCAGATTAATAGGGGTTTCAGGGGGGGGGGGTTGCATTGAAGAGGGGGGAAAGGAGTGAATTTCCTACTCCTTCCTCACATCAGCTGTACTAATGCAAGAGACAGGGTGGTGGTTTCCCCCCTCCTCAGTATAGCCCCCTGATCTGCATAGTTCCCACCACTTTGTGAATCAGCTTACCAGGGGCAAGAGGGGAACATGGGAATGATGCACATCAGCACCTTCCACTAATGGACCACTGGATCCAGTGTACTGGCTGTGGCCATTCTTAACCCCATGCCCTCTCCTCTGTGTGTGGTTTGTGTTTTTAATTTGGAGTGAGGAAATGTGTACATGGTTCATTTCCACATTGCCCTCTTGACCCCTGGAAAGTTGACTTGCAGAATTGCAGAAGCTATGTGGGTTAATAGCCATGGGGGCAGGGGCCCGTCTTAACTGCATGACCTAATGCTGCCCTAGCTAACCCCTCCCATAGCAGCAGTGCTTGCATTATGTTTAATTTTTTCAAAACTGCAACTTAAAAAATTAAGTTGTAATTTTAAAACTATAAATGGTAACCTCCCATCCCCCCACCCTGCTGGAATACATGGGAGCAGGCAGCAGCCCTTCCACGAGGTGAGGTTTCCCCCCTCCAAATAGGGGCAGGAGGACGATCCCTCTTCTCATTTGGCAGAGGCTTGAACAAAGACAAGGCGGTACAATTGGGAGGTGTACAGAGCTCTTGCAGCAAAAGGTCCTTGTTACCTTTACCAATGGCATATACTATTACTGGGTAGGTTGCATCCTCCAAATGCTTCATTACACAGCCTTAAAAATGAAACAATATTAAATTCTCCTTGTTAGCAAAAAATACCTGAAATGTATTACAGCAGTAACCAGTGTTCCCTCTAAGCTGAGTTAGTGTGAGCTAGCTCACAGGCTTTTAGCCTCCAGCTCACACATTTTTGTCTTAGCTCAGGAAGGATGGCTCCAGAGCAAACTAATTTATGCAGTAGCCAAATCACTCGCTCACAACTTTAATGCCAGTAGCTCACAAAGTAGAATTTTTGCTCACAAGACTCGTTCTACAACTTAGGCAGTAACCCTCACGGGCAGCTGGAGGAGGGTCACGGTTAGGCTTGCTCCATTCTGGGAGGAGTTTACCAAGCACTAACTCATGGCAGCAGTAGGGGGCCAGATTACCTGCTAAAGTTCCAGCTGTGGTACTTGGGTCCTTCTCCAGGCAAGACCCTCCTGAGGTGATCTGGGCTGTGGTTATTGAATGTAATGGCTGCACTGTCCAAAAGTTCTACTGTTCCACATATAGTACATGGTTGTCACCTCCGCTTTGAGTCGCATACCCCTGGAGAAGATGTCACTGGGCTGTCTTCAGGAGATCTTGCTCAAGTTCAGTTCACTTGCCCATACTAACGTGGACCAAGGCCTGCAGGGTTGGCAGGCTTCAGACCGAGTAGCCCTCAAACCTTCCACATGTGCTACATCTTTGGAACTTCCTCACTGAGCTCGTTGAGGCGTTTATTCTCTTGCATCTCGATCAGAGCACTCCGCTGATTCACAACCTCCAGCAACTGGGAGAGGATCTTTTTTTCTGCCAGCTGGTCCTCTGGGGTTTTCAATGACTCTGAATTAGGAATGAAACCAGGCAGCTCTGAGTTGAATCACCATCATGAAGTACAGGAAGAAAGGTTGTCTAACGTCAGTGTTTGAATATCTTCTCTGGCGGAGGGTGGGAGAGAAGTGAGGGAAGGATGGACAGCCTGTCTCCTTAGGAGGCATCCACACAACTCATCTAAACTACTAAACACAGCAGGTGTTCCTATTCATGGGTAAGCTAGCCACAGCAGCACACAGTAGAAATGTTTCAAATAAATAAGCATCATTCTTGTTCATCAGCATGCATTTAGATACAGAACTTCACATCTATATGGGTGAATGAGAACATCTAACCAGTCAACGATACTGATCATTAGAACGGAAGGCTAGGATAATTCATCTGTATTATCTTGGAGAATGTGGAATGTACCGCTCAGAGCTGGCCCAAGGATGTTTGAAGCCCCAGGGGAGTGACTGGACCCCTGCACCACAGGAAAGCTGTCTCCACTCAGCCTGCCCTCACTGCAGTGGGGCTGCCGCTTGCTGCTTTGCTTCCATCAGGAGACCAGACAGTGGGAAAGTTCCACAGGCTGCCCAGGCTTTGGGGTGGTGCAGCTGTTCCAGGGAAGGCCCCACCCCTATGGGTGCGGTGAAATGGCACTTCGGGCTGCCACTGACCATGTGCCATGCCGCTGCCGCCACTCCCAGAACTGGTGATGGGGGAAGGCCTCAGATGTGGCAGTGCTTGCACCAAAGCTGATCCTGCGATCCTCTCACAGGAGAGCTGGCTTGGCGCCCCTCCATTCGAGGCGTAGACTGGCACCCTGAGCAACTGGGTCGGCCAGCCCTGGTACTGCTTTCTTCACTCATTACCTGCAATAGAACTTCACAGGTTTTCTATCTGAAGCAGGTATGTATAGGTATGTGCAGGTCCTTGGGGGCCCTGACTGGGCAGAAAGGAGGGGTATAATTTTTTAAAAAATAATCATGATGTACCAATGCTTGTTGGTGTTCATTCATCTACTTAGGAACCATATGCCTCAATTGAACTTCACTGAGGACTCATACATTCTATTTTTTATTCTACATACACTTTGCATATGGAAGTGACTGTGGTGTTCATCGTTTGAGGCCCTTCATTATTGCTAAAGGAGAATGGACACTGTAGGTAGTCATTTATTTATTTGAAACATTTATTAGCTGCCGTACCACCTTACACATCTGCTTTCTAATTTTTGAATACAGGTGACTGATATTTAGAGCATCTACAGCTCTCTTTCAAGATGGCATTATTGAAGGTATTATGGCAATATTGGATAATGTAAAACAAAGAAAGTATGTTTTCTTCTGAAGTATTGTCTGTCTGCATAAATATCTGATAGATTCCATACACATCCCATCCCCCTACTTTGGCAGGTCTAGCTAGGAATGAGTCTGGAGCCCACAGCTGTTGTGCACAACTAGAGGACAATGAGTTAAGTAGATGTGCTTCAAATGTTCTGCTACCTCTGATATCATTGACCTCCACTTTTAATTTTCCCACTCCCGTTTTCCTTCCTCAAATGTAGAAGCAGACACAGCGAGGGTTGGATCCTAACAACTGCCAGTGGTAGAAATGCAGTTCTTAGCTGTATTTCCCCTTGGAGCAGAGGTTGAAGAATTGTTCTCTCCTCCCTCTTCTGTCAATGGTGCTGTGCTCATTGAAGAGGCAAAAAGGATGATTTGCCCCTTTCCCGCTGCAGCCCTCTAATCTGCATGACTATTAATCTACACTGGTCAGAAGGGACTACTGGGCTGATGGAAACACTGCAAAGATCTGCATTCTTATTACTGACAATACATAGGATCTAATCCCAGGATAATCTTCATGTCTCCTGATCATCTTCACATGTGCAAGTTCTTATACAGCTGCATTACAACTATGAGGCTTGGGACCCACTGTTCTCCCTCCTACCTTCCCTGTTGTAGTATTGCCGAAGTTCTTGATCCAGCTGACTCTGCTGTTCCTCTAGCTTCAGTTCTTGTACCCTATGGGTTAAAAAGGAGGGTGTTTGTCATCCATAACTGAAGAGCTCATGGTAGTGATGAGATATTATCTCTGTGTGTGTGCTATTTAATCTCTCTATAGCTCTGGCTGCATCTATGTACTTAATCTGCACTCAAACACTTAGACATGTCTGTCCATGGCTGCTCAGGGAGACTGCCTGTGCATATTGTGACACAGATAGCTGTGCAATTAACTGCAGCTTTATTATCTAATTCTCACAACATTACCTGTGGAATATCTCTAGTTATGTTTTAGATCTTGGTTGTATGGCTTGTCCATATGGCTTGACCAATATGAATTATAGATTCATTGCCTCTCTTGGAGTTCCTATGTTTAGTACTGATATTCTAAGGCATGTAACTAGAAGATAATGATCTAGACTAATAGAAAGTGATCTTTTTAAAAAAGTCATGCTAAACAAAGGATGGGAATGAAAAGGACTTCTTAAACATGGCTAAGGAGCTAAGAAAGTCAACTGATGTGAACCTCAGAGTGTTTTTCCCCTTTGTTTGATAGACTGTCTTTCTTTTAGCTTGTTTTAATTGTATATATGCTGATTTTATGTAAACCACACTAAGCCGGCCTTGGCTGGGAGGGCAGGGTAAAAATTTGAGAAAATAAAATAACTAAATAATTTATGCTCAGTGTCTGCCAGATCACCCTGTCTGGAACTGGGAAGAAAACTGAGTCTATGACCTAAGACAGTGTCATGTTATCCTGATGGTGCAGGAGCTGTAGCAGTTCTGCTCCTTCTAACACCACTAAGGAAATATAACAGCAGGCCATGCTACAACCCCTACCATCAATAGCAAAGGCCAGGTTTTCATGAGGGCTGATGCTGATGTGGGGAGGAGCCACAGTGTGGCCTCTTCCATTGCAGTGTGGAGCTAGATATGTGGAAAGTGACAATACTCCACAACAACTTCAGTGGCCCTGGAACAACATGCAGAAACTGCCAAGGCATGTGCCAAAAAGCAGAACATCTTACACAATCATAAGATCAGACTCCTCAGACATCAGACTGTTCTTCTTTTGGACGAGGGAAAGTAACTGGTTCATCCATAGCCTCTTCAGTTCAGACTCTGTTCCTGGAGGACAAAGGGGGCAAGAAGATGTGGCATCTGGACTCACAGGCTAAGATCCAAGTGCTACCGGTGGTACAGACCTTCCATATGCTGAAGTATTCATTTCATTCCTGTTGGAAGAGCCTGACGCACTTACCTCCTTCTTCACGAAGGGATCGCTCCAGTTTTATTCCCTGTTTTTCCAGCTCTCGGAAAGTCACTTCAATCTCTTCTAGTCGCCTCTGGATTGACTGCAATGCCCAAGAGACAAAAGTGGTCAAACAGGAAAGAATTGTGAACTGTAAGGAAGAGGGACAAACTTTGTTTCCTTGCATGGATTAGGACAAAGGAGATTTATGGGATGTTTACAGGATAGAGATGGTGGCAGCCTATAACAAAAGTGTCTGTGCTTGAATAGTCCATGCAGTCAAGAATGCCCTTGTGTAAAGGGCAAGCAACTCCTTTCATCAGGATGTCATTTAAAAATGCAAGGTGTGAGTCACTCTGTCCTGTGCATGTTGCGCGCAGACTATTTTAAATAACATTTTAAAGAGGGCAATCAAAGTTCCAAATAAAAATCAGGAAGAACTGTTTTATCTCTTGAATATTCTTGTTATATATTTTGTAATTACATAACATTACATATAGGCTTGCCAAGTCCCCCTAGGGGGCGGGGAAACCCCCGCCCCAGAGGTCCGTTCCCCGCCGCTGGCGGATTGGGCCCCGGGGGGGACTCCCCCCCGAGGTGCACGTCACCCACAAGTGACGTGGGCACGCTGGGGGCGGGCCCACAGTCATCCGAGGGAAAACTCTATGGTTTTCCCTCGGATGGTAGTGGCCCCGCCCCCAGCATGCCCGGCGTGCCCGCGTCACTTCCGGGTGATGTGGATGCGGTGCGCGCGCTCCAGCCGCCAGCCGGGAGTCCCCCACTGCGGCTGAATTCACACTTGTCAACCCTAATTACTTATGAACAATGATTATTTACAGTAGTCTGGAATTTAATTTCATTGGTCACAACAGCAGAAATGCCAGTGTAAGAATTAGAGCAAAACATTCCACAAGGATCTTACAATTGAATTTCAGCTGTGCATACAGGGTAATTAATCAAGAAGTTGTAATTATATGCAAAGTTGAGAAGTAGTATTAACAATGGCCAGAGTCTGAAAACACACTACCCCCCCCAAAAAAAAAAGGAAAGGAAAGGCTAAGTAAGTGGTAGTGAGTGTGATAAAATTCAAACCATGAAGCTTGCAATACAAACTTCCCCAATCTGAAAAGTCTCATGTCAATTCAAGGCAGACCCAGATAGAGGTCTTTGAATCCTGGTTTGGCCCAAAATGGAGCTTCCCCCATCAACAGCCTGACCTCTCTGTCTGTTACTCCTTCCCAAACTACCCCCCTTTACCTTTCAGAAGGGGGACAGGGTAACAGGTGGTATGAAAGGCTCATTAAATCTCAAGATTCGAGGTCTCTGGCGGTAACCTCTGCAGGTATTGTGGAATTTGTAGTTTTTCTCTACCAGCAGAAATGAATTGGAATATAGAGAAGGCTACAATCTCATCCTCCTCCACTGAAAATTTCAATCCCATCCTCCCTAGCTATCATTTTCAATTTAATCCAGGAGCTAGAGAAAGCTACAAATTCCACAATTCTTTGAAGGGTAGAAATGGTAGATAACAACAAAATTATTCCAGAACTCCAAAGTGAGAGGGAATAGGTAGGAGCAGGTGGTTTCAGAGGAAATTGCAGACACTTACAGTGGTGTTTTATTGCATTAGAAGTGATGGTCCTTCTGTGTGTGTTTTTAAACTACCTTCTTAGTAGTAAGGCTGCAGTACCCACAACTCAGTGTCACACATGTGACACTTAAAAGGATATAGGGCATATCCATTAAACATCATCTTTAAAGCATCTTTAAACATTAATATATATGTGTGAGAGAATTGTGCTTGGGCCAGACTCAACATATGTTGTCTATGCTTTACATATCTCTTGCAGGAAGCCCTGGTGTAACATTTGGTAATGCACAGCAATCATGCCTACCACCAGGGGTCATTTGGGGGGGACGCAGGGGGATGCCATCCCCCCGGGTGAGGTGCGGGAGGGCGGGGCCTGGAGCTCCCTGCTGGTGCCCGCTGGAGATCGCCGCCGGCTGTGGGGAGGACACACTTCCGGTGATGTCAGGGGGTGTGGCATATGCTAATGAGTTATGCTAATGAGTCCCCCTGGTTCTTTTTCTACGAAATGACCCCTGTCTACCACAGAAAGTGTGGCACTGCCTCTACAACTATGAAAATCTCTGGATATACTTGATAGCTTCCAACTTTTGGATGTGAAATATCAAACTGAGCCTGCCCCAGTGGGGAGGGTGGGGTATAAACTGAATGAATGAATGAATACTGGATGTCTGAGCATCCTTTTCTAGTCCTTCCTGGAATAATTCTGTTGAAGTTTCAGCACTCTTCTAAATGTAGCAAACATGAATTACCTGGGCTTTGCAAAATCTTTTCATCTCAGCCTCTTTGGCTCGTCGCATCAATGTCTTTTTCCAGGTTGCGTGTTTTTCTTCTTCAATCACACTCAAGGAACACTGGAAGCACAACACATGGACACGAATCACACAAGAGGGGAAAATGCCCACAGTCCACCATTTGGAAGAAGAGACTAAATAGCAAGTAGCTTTAAAGCAGCTGCTTTAAAGGGTGGTTTTGTTTTCCTGCAGGAATCCAGGGCAATTTTGATTCCCTAGCTACAATCAATTGGGGCCTAGTCAGTTTACAGCCACCACTACTAGCCCCCTCAAAAAAAAACCAAAAAAAAAAACCAAGGTACCTAAATCCACTCCAAAATCCTTAGGAAAAAGGAGGGGAAAGAAACAAGAGTAACTGAGGGGGGAGGCCTAGGTCTGGCCTGCTTTTTAGCTATAAAATAGTCCTGAGGAACTGACTCACTATCAAGTCAGCACTTGCGGTATAATCAGGAGCCCTGTCAGCACCCACAACAAAGTAGGTTGTCTACAGGGCTTTGTGAGAATCTTGTTAATCATGTGACAGTGCACAGATGTCCA